CCTTGTGTGACACTATAGTAAGGTCCTATTCTATCAGTTTAACTAACAAAAAATTTTAATTCATTCTTTAAGTTCACCACCCTCAAATTCAATGTCCGCCTCTTCTTCCTCTTCTGATAATTTTAGCAAATTACCTAAAGGGTGGGAAATGCGAGTAGATGGACAAGGAAGAATTTTCCATATTGAGTTTATTATTATATTTTTTAATTAAAAATATTAATACAAAATTATAGCCACATTCGTCAGAAGACAGCTTGGACACCTCCAGTAATTTTAATTTTTAAAATATTCAGGCATAATAGATAATAAGGTTTCCTGTAGCACATTAATGGCACAAAAATATGACATTAAAATGGGAGTGACATACCTACCGTACCGCATTTACTCTTCAATTGTCCTTCCTCGGATAATTATTACCCCCCCCCCCCCCCCCAATGATATAGGTGAAAAATAATCTCACCTAAAAAATTTTTAAAAATTATTCATTTTATATAATTTATTTTCATAAATAGTGTATTTTGGAAGCTCTTGAAGAATCTGAATATTTTAATAAAAATTGTGAAAATATTTGTGACGAAAATCGTTTTATTAGGCAAACAATGGAATTTTCTAAGAATAATATTAACAATAATTTAACTATTCCTCAAACACCAAAACAAATGGCGCTAAATATTTTACTTAGCAAAGAATTATTTAACCGCCTTCTACATTCAAATAATGTAAAGCTATATTTTATAAATTTTTAAAATTATTGAAGCTATTTTCTAGAGCCCGCCTCGAGGGTTCTTGCGGTATTTTTCAGATAAATATAGAAAATAAATATCGGAAAATATAGTTTCGAGCCGGGCTCTCCTGATTCTCTCTAATTATTTTTTAAACAAAAATACTGTCGATTATAGAATACACATTCGGGGCTGGAAAATCGTGCCTTTTAAAGGGGGAGAGGTAATGGTAATCAGAATGGACAGCTCTTGGAAAATCTCTAGGTATCAGAATTGAAAATCTCTGGATATCCTGAATTTTTCTGATACGGATATCTGTATCCCAGCTCTCGTGAAAATGGAAATTTTTATATTTTTGCTAAAATTAAAATTTATATTTTTTTATTTTTCCAAGTTTGCTTATGAATTGTATAATGAAAGCCGTATTTTAAAACATATTATACAGAAAATACGTCGAGAGCCAGAAAAATTCTCTCAATTTGAGCAAAATAGAGAATTAGTAAAGTAAGTTTATTTTTTAATTTTTGAGACGAAATATACTTAAAGTAATGGGGGGTAGAGCAAATCGAAGTCCGATGATCGGACTTCGATCGCTTAAGCACATTGTATTGGTTTTTTGCCAGTCTCAGACTTGTTTCAGTTTTGATGATACTCGAACCGATTCTTATTCAGCACTCGATGACTTTTGTGTAAAGGGTACCAGAGAAAACATCACTAAGTTTTTTTTATTTTCACCGGTCTTGGTACTATTATAACAAAAAATTCGTAAGAGCAAAATAGAAATTTCACAACATAGACCTAATTCTTCAATATTACATTTAATTTTCAAGTTTTATCAACTCATTCACTGATCGAACACAGCCCTTACCTTCTGGATGGCAATTAACTAAACAAACAAATAGTCCAATGCCTCAAATACTTTTTGTGGACCATATTGGAAAAAATATTACCCCATTTGATCCTAGACTGGCATTTATTTGTTTAAATTATAAGAGAACTAGTAAACAAGAAAACCCAAATTCCTGCCGAAGTGCTCCTCCCTTGCGACGTTTAAAGTAGGTACAAAAGTAAAGTTAAGTTCGAAATAAGGCCAGGGGTCGGTTTGAAATCACGAAGGTGCGGAAATCGGAAATCATTGAAAATTTTCAAGATTAGAAGGCCCTCTGATAGAGGCACCTCAATTTAAGATATCTTATCTAAATTTGTTTACGGAGAAGCTTGTTTAAGAAACACCTCTATTTTTTAACCCCAAGGGTTTAATTAAAAATGAGATCTACCTACTAGTATATTTAGTTTAGAAAATTTATTATACAGTAAAAATACATCTACAACACCCTTTTTTGGAAACAATATAACAAATTCCCCGAGAATACAAAATCAAAGACGCTCTCAACAAATAAATAATGATCGGTTGTCCCTCGATGAAAATGTTCTAGTTCAACTTGAAAAAGTATTAAATGATCATTACAATCCTCAAATGGCTCAAAAAGTTAATTTTTTTGAAGAAATCTTTTTGAAAAATTTTTTATAACCTAACTATCACCCTAAAAACCCCTTAAAAATAATTCTTATAGATAAAAACCAAACTTCGATTAATCGCTAATTTGGGAGATAGAGCATTGCTGCGCTATGCTAACGATGTTGACGTAGCTAGAGCATTAAGTCTATTAGATCAATTAAATGAAAAAATATTGAAAAATAATGAAGAAACACAGCAAAACGAAGATAATGAAAAAAATTTGAATGAAAAATTTTTGAAAGTTATTGAAAATTTTCATGAAAATCTGAAACAATTGGGTTATGCAAAAAGTCAAAACAGATTGAGGTAATTCCTAATTTATTGTGGTTATTATTTAATTGGGATCTGAGCTGGGTAAAAATAAAATTTTGCTCTCAACTAAAGAAAAATATAAATTTCATTTTTACGAAATGAAAGAAATGAAAAAAATTATTTTTAAACGAAACACGAAACGAAATATTTTCGCACAGCTATTGTTGGGATTGGACTTGTGATTTTAAGTCGAAATTTGATTTAAGGTTTTATCAAATTTTGACTGTACCTATCTTTATTTTTTATGGTGTATTATTAGGCCTCTAATAGGATAAGCTATTAGGTTATCCGAATTCGAAAAAGTCTGGATATCCGGAAATTTTCGGTTCAGAGTTCCCATAATTTGGCAACTCTAATTTCTAGCATTTTTGCCGATTAAACTTGACATGTTGTAGTATTTCCTGAAAAATCAACGCCAATGTTATAATCTTGGATAAAGTGAATTAAGTCGGATATCGGATATAGCAATACTAGAGTTAACTAAATAAAAAATTTTCCAAGAGAATTCATTAAAATATTCTTTAAATTTCTAGGTTTCGTTTAAGAAGAGATAATTTAATGGAAGATGCTTTCCAAAAAATTCTTTGCTTAAGCCCATCAAAATTACGAACATATCAATTAATGGTTGATAAATAATTTTTAAAATTTTAAAGTAAATTTTTAGGTAAATTTTGCTGAGGAGGATTGTTTAGATTATGGGGGTCCTTCAAAAGAATTATTTTTCCTTTTATCAAAACAACTTTTTAATCCAAAAAATGGTCTTTTTGAATATTCCAGTATTAATTCTAATAGAATACAAGTAAATTAATTATTTAAATAGCTAATTTTTATTTAATATCGGCAAGTAAGGTTTTCGGATCCGGATCCGAAAAATGGCCGGATTTTGGTTCGGATATCGGAATCGAATATCCGAAGATTTCCAACTATCCGACAGCCTTATTGGTAAACCGGGTTCAAAAACAGAACGTTTTTTGTAAAGTGTTCCGTCTAAAACTGAAAAAAAAAATAAATTTGATAAAAGTTGAGATTGAAGTGATTAATATTTATCGTTTTCTTAAACCTTTCAATTAATCATCTTAGAAAGATTTAAACAAAGTTGTCTGCTCTAACTATTTGAGCAGGGGTTTTTCTATTGTACGTACAAAATTTATGTACACTCTCAGTGTAGTACGTTCAACTTTTCTAACAATAAGTTGATCGGCATGGATGGAACATCTATGGGAAGATAAGCATGAGCTAGTCCTCCAATTTGATGTATAACTTCAGTTTTACTTACACATTTTTCATCCCAATTGAGTACGTACAAATAGCAACCACTTATTTTCTCTAGTAAAATTTTTTTAAATTTTCGCTCAAAAAAGAAGAAATTTTAGATTTTAAAAATAAAAAAATTAAATCTTAATATAATTAAATTAAAATTATCTCTTAAATATAGATTAGCCCAATGTCCAAATTTATTGATAATTATCTTAGTTGGATGGAATTATGTGGTAGAGTGTTGGGATTAGCTTTATTGGTATCTTATATAATTTTAATGTTTTTCAAAAAAATTTTTTTATTTAATTTCTAAAGCATCGTTGCCTCTTGGATTGTTTCTTTACAAAACCTTTTTATAAAATTTTGGCAAAAATGTTTTTTTATTTTTTAAAAATTAAAATTTTTTTGAATTTTTTAGCCCTTTAGAATTACTTGATCTTTTAGAAACGGATAATGAATTATTTAATTCTCTCAATTGGATAAACAAAAATTCTGTAAATGTTGAAAATTTAGAATTAAATTTTTGTGTAACTGAAGAAGTAGCTGGAGAAGTAATTTAATTTTAATAAAAAAAATTTTTTCTTGAAGTTTTTTGAAAAATAAATTTTATTTTCAATCAGAGAACTTTTTTAGACTTAATAAATATTTTGTTTAACCCTTAAAATTTATTTTATCGGAGGAGACGAGGTTGAGGATAATTCTTAACATTATTAAACTTCAACTTCTTTTCACTCTCGGAAATAAATTTATACTAATTATTTTCAAGAGTAAAGCAAGAGTAATTTATTGGGCTAAGTTGGCAATAAGTTAAGTTTCAAGAGTAAATCCTATTTTAAATTAAGTAAAAAATAATCCAAGAATAAAGCAAAAGTTTGAATAGCATTGGGGTAGCTCTCAAAAGTAGGGTTTTCGCCATATCAACCATACTTGAAGTAAACCTGACCTGTCTTTAAATTTTATTTTTATTACCGATTTAAGCCTAAATTTTGTTTAAAAAATCAATTTTAATCTTTATACGCCTTTAAAAATTTTAATAATTTTTTAAGATCTCGGATTTCGAATTACTTTCAAACGGCAAAAATATATCTGTAAATAATGAAAACAAAAAGAAATTTATTGAATTAATTATTTTATGGCGGTTAATTTATTTTAATTAATTTTGAAATTTTATTAAAAATTTTAAGTGTTGAAAGGGGTATTCGAGACCAACTTAAAGCTCTCCTATTTGGATTGAACGCGGTCAGAAAATTTTTTTAAAAATTTTTAAAAATAATTTTTAGGTAATTGACCAATCTTTGTTAACTGTTTTTGACGCTGAACAGTTGGAATTTGCAATTTCTGGGAATATTTTTATTGATATTGAAGATTGGGAGAAAAATACTGTTTATAAAGGAGGATATAGAGAAAATCATGTAATTAAAAAATTTTTTTTAATCAAAATCAGACTTTGCTCTTTTCCGTTTTTCAAAATTTTTTTAAATTTTAATCAGGGATCTTGCAGACAAAAAAAACAAAATTCCTAATTTCGAGAAAGCGGCCGACCCAAAAAACGTCGGGAAATCCCGATTTTCGGGAATCGGGATCGAGACGACAGGATCCCTTGTACATATGTAAATAACCAGCATATAAGGGATGGAATCGCTTCCGTCCTCCTCCCACTCCCGCTTCCTTGAAGCGGGAGTGGGAGGAGGTTCTGCTTCAGTTTTGAATAATGCTAAAGGGCCCACTCATGAGGCATAAGATCCCTTGAAATTTCATAAATCAAGGGGAACATACGAGTGATTTTTCGCGTTGGAAAGAATTGCACAATTTATGATTTATAGAAAATTGTTTTAAAAATTATTTTTAATTTTAAGGTAATTATTCGTTGGTTTTGGCAATGTGTTAGACAAATGTGCAATGCTGACAGGCTTAAACTTTTGCAATTTGTAACTGGAAGTGCCAGTGTTCCCTTTGAAGGGTTTAAAGGATTGAGAGGTTCAAATGGGTTAAAACCTTTTTGTATTGAACGTTGGGGAGACGAAGTTTGAAAATTTGATAGAAAATTAAAAATCTCAAAAAAATTTTATTTAGGAAAGTCTCCCTCGCGCCCATACATGTTTTAATCGTTTAGATTTGCCTGCTTATTCTAACAAACAAAAAATGTTTTCGAAAATTATGGTAAAAATATTTTATTTAAAAATAATTTTTTTCTTTTTTCAGTTAGCCATTTCAGAAAGCTCATATTATGCGATTGAATAAAATTTTTTAGTAACTATTTTCTTTGCCCATTTTTTAATTGTAAATTTTTATCTACATTTTTTATATAAATAAATAATATGGTAGAATAATGTTGTTACTACCCACTGGGTCTGGGACCGTTCCCTACCCTATCCCTCGAAATTTCTGAAAGTTAAAATCGTTTTTCTGAAAATTTAAAAATTGGCTATAACTTTCAGAAATTTCAAGGGAGTTAAAAAATTTTTTTTTCATCACCTCAATTTATGATGATTGTGATTTAGCAGCACGCAAACAACAATTAATTAATGAAAAAGGAAATTTATTTTATGTAAAAAATAATTTTTTTAATTAAAAAAAAATATTTTTTAAAGTCATTTAATTTAAATCTTTACAAATAATTTCAAATAATTGAAAAAATGGAATTAAAAAACAACAAATAAAAATTTTATTGACAGAAATTAGGAGGCTCTTTTTGGTAAAATTTGCTTCGTGAATCTTTCATAATCCAAATCCGAAAAAATGGTGTTACGACGATTGCACTCAATTCCGGATTTTACATTGTGGAATTAAATTTTTTTAAAAATTATTGAACGAAAAGGAAAAAATGGGGAGAGGGGGGGGGGTCTAAACCACATTTACCAAAATTCATTTTCTTTACAAAAAATTAAAAAATGGGAAATTAAATGAAAATTATTTTTATATACTTTTTTCGTCGTCCATTATTCTTATCTCGGTAATTCTTAAGCTGGTCCCCTTTTTTCCTTACTTTTTCCTTCCTTAAGATTGTACATAATGGTAATATTTTTCCCTTTCCTTTTTTCTCTATGGCATATTCAAACATAAAGAAAGTACTTAGACCTGCCCTAATATTTTTGGTAGCATGTTTCAGTTTTTATTTTTGTTAACGTACTGAATAAAATTGTAAATTACTCTCATTACACTGTTAAATATGCCACAGAGCAGATAGAGGAAGGAGAAAACCTGACCATTATGTAAAATCATAGGGAAGGAAAAAAGGGGGGGCCAGCTTAATTGTAAGCATTATCCTTATCTCCATAAACCATTCATATATTCAGTTACTTCATAAACTGTAAATGCATTTGGTCTTTCATTCATAATTGGATGCATACAAGATACAATTAAAGCTTCAAGATGAGGAGTATATCTGTCATCGGGTATAGGCGGGTATTCTGCATTCTGTATTTTTTGCATCAAGGATTGAAAATTATCCTTTTCACCATAGAATGGTGATTTTGCTGCACCCATCTGTATTTAGAATTATTTTTAATAACATTTTAGTATCCAGCTTATCTCTCGAAATCCATGACCTTAATCCCCTTATATACTCTACAAATCTCCCGATGCAACGTCAACTCTCAAATCCACCTATATCTAGGGATTATTATATTAATATTTTAATACAAGATGCGCCCCCATGTATTTTTTATTTCGTTTCGTATGAAAATTAATTTTATTTCGCTCCGAAACGAAAGGGAAAAAAGGGAAAGGGAAAAAAGGGGGACGAAAGAGCGAAAGGAAACGAGATTTCCTCCAGCCCTGTTCGACACTGAAATTAAGGGGGGGGGGTTATAAAAAGGTGGTCTAACAAAACTTTTTTAATTTATCAAGAATTATTTAAAAAATACTACCTCATACAAAATACAACCCAACGACCAAATATCAGAAGCAAAAGTATATGATTCTTTAATAATTCGTTCAGGTGACATATAATAAGGAGTACCACAAAATGTTTGTGCGTGAACAGCTAAATTTAAACGAGAAAGACCAAAATCAGCCAATTTAACAATTCTATTGTTAGTTAAAAGAACATTTGGAGGTTTTAAATCTCGATGCATAATTTTTTTTGAATGAATATATTTAACAGCTCCAGCAATTTGGCCAAAAATAAACCAAATATCTCTTTCATGCAAAAGGCATGAATAGGAAATTGCACGCTTTAAATTTTTAAGTCACAATTTTTTTTATTAAAATTTAAAAGTTAAGAGTTTTTTAAATGTATATAAGTTAAAAAATTTAATTGTTCATTTTTCAAACGAAAAATTTCGGAACTTAACAGTACCCACCCCGGAATTTTGCCGGATGTAGTTTGTATATGAACAATTTATATATCATTCGAAAGAGCTCACCGAGCTGCATCGAAAGACACCAAAATCAGCCCGCGTTCTCAAGTCTAAGCTGAGACAAATGGGCTCAAAATGGACAAAGCAAGCCTTGTGCAAAACCCAGCGTTTCGCGAGGTAAACCTATACCTTTTTTCCGATTTTCAGCATTGAAATTCGGACCTACTCCCCCCCTAGTCGCACAAAAGCAGTTATTGGTTCTTTATTAATATCCCGCCCCCACCCCTATTTGAATCTCAGATTAATTTTCCTTCCTTGCTGCCAATCATTTATTTTTCCTCCTTTTTTAATGTCAATCATTTTCTTCCCTCGAATATTATAAGTAAAATGCAAGTTAGAAACTTATGATAGTTGAGGTGTACAGCCCAAAAAGGCGCGCAGCCATAACGGCGCAAAGCCATAACCTTCTGTAATATTTTTGGGCCTTGTCATGAAAGGAATCTCGATGAAAGGAATCGTTTAATATTAATTTTTTTAAGGTTCGAAAACCATGAAGCAAGTTATGGCTTTGCGCCTTTATGGCCGCGCGCCCTTTTGGGTGTCTTATATTTGAGGGAAGAAAATGATTGGCATTAAAAAGGGAGGGAAATAAATGATTGACAGCAAATAAGGAAAAATAATCTGAGACTCAAATAGGGGTGGGGGGCGGGATATTAATAAAGAACCCAGTTATTCCAGCAAATTTCAGTTCCTCGTAATTTTGTTCAAAATCATCAAAACAAGCTGATTTTGTTACCATTCGACTCAGCTCGTCGAGCTCTTTCGATTGACAAATATAATGTCCAAATCTAATTAAAAAATCCCCCGCTAAAATTTCGGGGTAGGTAGTTAAAGTAAATAAGTTCCTCAAAAATTTTGATATTTTAGGTTTGTCAGTAGTTAAGTGAGATAAATTCGAATTTTAGAGCAAATTTTATTTTTTCAAATTCCGGGCCCGAATTCGAGCTCGAAGAATGTATCAGGTTAGCCATAAAATTTTAATTCAAAATATAAAAAAAACACTTCTTCCCCATTTTTCTATGGAAATAAAAAAATGCGTCATACAAACCGAAGTTTTACCTAAGTCTTTTTATAATAATTACCTGAATCAAAATTTCAAGATCACCACCATTAACGTATTCCAAAACAAGAACGAGGTACTTATTTTGCTAAAATTAATGTAAAATTTTATTTTAAAAATCAATGATCACCGATAAAGGCGAAATCTCTTCAAATGAACGAAAACATTTGACAATATTTTGATGGTTAAAATTGGTAAAAATTTTAACTTCATTTATTGTTGTCTTGTAAATAGCCGGATCAGTAATAGCAGCAAGCTTAAAAAATCTTTTTTTAATTATAAAACATCAACTATAACAGACATTAATCTTTTTAAGAGCAACTTCTCGATACATTATTGGCCTTGGATTAATCAATTCATAGCCTTTATAAACTTGTGCAAAAGAACCAAAACCAATGCGAACTACGCCACAAAAATCATTAATGGAAGTAGGTGGAACTAAAGGTGTATAAGAATATGAAGACGATGATTGTTGTTGAGTATACAAATAATTATTTTGTTGTTTATTTTGTGGATTCATTGAAAATTGTTTTTTAAAAGAAAAAATATTTGAGATTGTAATAAAGTTAAAAATCTGCCAAAAATAATAAAGTATGTACTACTAGGATATCATAAAATAGTAAAGCAGCTGGGCTATAGCTATTTCTCTCCTTTAGCTAGTGCAAAAGGTTAATCGGCGGCTGGGAGCGAACCAGCATCTTCAGTAGACCGGACTGATGTGTTAGCCATTACACCACGCCGCCTACCGCTCAGCTTTAGGAAATTAATAGCTATATGCTTTACAAAATATACATATAGATTTCGTATTAAAATGAACTCCGTGAAAGCACATATAGGTAATATATTTAAAAATGTGCCGCACAAAAATGTTCTGTAACAACATCAAAAAATTTTTGTGAAATTTTTTGTGATACGCGTGAATGAAAATTCTACAAACAAAACTAAAATATATACTAATGCCAAACAAATAAAAAGGGCGTAAATGGCGTTAGGCAAAATGCCCACAATATATAAAAATGGAAAAAAACGAAGCCAAAATTGAAAACGAAAACGTATTTTTGATCATTTCGCCCTAGATCAGGGTTGTCTTTTTACCCTATGTATAGGGCATTTTCCCTATTTTTGATCTTTTCGCCTTATTTTCACTATTTTATATATTTGCCATATTTTGCCCTATTTTTAACATTTTGTAATATTTTTCAAATTTTCTAGCATTTTGTAAATAAAATGCGGGTATTGTGACTTATAGGGGGTTTTTGTTGGCTCAGCCGATTTCGACAAATGATATGTCATTCGAAAGAGATCCTCGAGCTGAGTCGAATGACACCAAAATCACCGAAATCCGACTTGATTGGACAAAGTTATGTCGTTTGTTTTAGCTCCTTACCTATGGTCTATGTGGAGGTTTTTGCTGCTGCGGAGGCTCCAGTTACGTCCAGAGCAAGGGAAATAGGAATAGGTTACTCTTACTGATCCAGAACCCAGCGACCGTCGACTCACCGCGAGGCGCGTGCCGCAAAACCCCGCGCGAAGAGCGGGGTTTAATTTCAAAAAGAATTTATTTTAAGTAAAATATTTAGTAGAATCTTGATTTGTCGAATTTGAAAGTTTTATTATTTCGGCCGGGATCGTTGGGTATAATTAGTCGAGAGAATCGAGATATCGTCTCGGTCTGGTCTTTAATCATAAATGTCATTATATTGAGATTTGACTGTATTTTGTTTATAAAATATTTATTTTTAAAGATAATCTATCGAAGAAAAAGATTAAAAAGAAACGTTCTTCAACAAATAGCAGCAGTAATGATCTTTTTTATATAAAACTGAATCCTCGATTTTCGTATTTATTTGTAAAAAGTTAAATTTAAATGGGACACGCGTGCGGCCATAACGGCGCAAAGCTATAACCTGCTGGAAATTTTCTAGCCCTATCAGACTTGGTACCTATCTTTAGCTCAAGAGAGGAATCGTTTAATTCTAAATTTGCTAACATTCGGAAATCCTGAAGCTATGGCTTTGCGCTGTTATGGCCGCGCCCCTACTTGGGCTGTACTCTGTTTAAATAGTCTAACAAAAAAGGTGACAAGAATACAATTTTTATTTAATACAAAATACATATTTCAAATAATATCGAAAATACATATCCTAATTACTTAATTATCTTTCCTCTTTCTCTTACAATCTAAATTTGATGAACAACACAATTAGCAACGATCTTCACTTGAGGTTGACTAGGAGATTTTTTAGCTTTCTTAGAAGAGTTTCCAGATTGATTAGGGGACTTTGCAGGTCCACGACTCTTCACGTCGGCTCCTTTACCATCGCACTGCATAGTGCGTTCAAACGTTCCGATATATGTATTGCATTGACTACAGCGATGCTCAACGTCTTTGCATGCGTCGAGGCATAGAGGGACTAAACAACAACCACAGCAGCAACTGAAAAGAAAATTTTTTTAATTAAAAAATTTTTGAAGGTTCTACCAGCAGAACAGCAGCAGAAAGACTAACGCGCAAGTAAGCACACCAGAAACGTGTTTGGTTCGAGTAAGAACGTGTTGGTCACATGTAGGGCAATAGACCTTAGGGAAAATAAAAATTGTCTTGCTTTGATTAGAAATTCACCTGTTGCGGAAATTGGCCAAGAACATTTGTTTTTTGGTCAGGAATATCCACTACTTGATGCTGCGGCGGCGAATTAGACTCTGCAGATTCCGAACTAGCACTTCCTCCACCTATTCCTATTTCTACACATGGAGTACATTTTGACTGTTGAGTGCTGTTGGTATTGATGCTGCAGTGCTTTTTGTGTTTTTTCCCCATGACAGAATTGAGTTTGACAAGTTGTTGGGATAACGAGAGATGAGCACAACATTGAATTTGTGCTTTTATACTAATCCAAAATTCAACAATTGTTTTCGAATTGAATCGAATAAGAGAATAAAGGTAAGCATAAAACAGCAAGGATATCAATTAGACTTAACTTTAGACTAACCTAAGTAATCTCTAGGGGAGTATTCTAATATCCCCCTTTTTAGGTTAATATTTTAACGAGGGAGTAGGGAATTTTAGAAAATTTTACGGATATGGAGTCGATGACCATGTTTTGTTAATACATATGTCGGATATGGACAAAACACGGTCATTGACTCAGCTCGATGAGGTGTGAAAATCAAGCGCGGGAGTTAACGAACAAAACAATTTTATTAGATTATGTAAAATTATCGCAAAAATAATAATAGAGAATTGTTTTATTAAGTAATATTTTTATGGAATTTACATGTATTTTTTAATATTTTTTAGGGTTGTTGTGATTTTTTGTCTGTGATTTTTTAACTTTAATTAATTTTTATTCTTCATATTCACATTCAATTACTTATATTTATCATTTTTTCTTGTTCCCATCTACCACACCATCACATTTGACAAAAGTTAAAGTAGCATTTTGAACGCTTCCTACAGACAAACTTTCGAGCTTCTCAAACGCAGGTTTCGACAAAATGGCGTGTGTCGCAGAACATTCATATTCATGGCAGACATCTCTGACAGGGACTGTGATACTTAAAAATGAAATTTAGAATAAAAATTAAGAATTTCTACCATTTCCCGTTGTAATCAACTTTAAGACAAACATGGCAAAGTGGATCTTTACTTATAACAACATTCTTGCTCCATAGTTTATAGCTAATAGCAACTAAAAAATCATTTTCCGCATCAGTCAATTTTCCTACACAAAGACCAAATCGTACTTCATTATAGAAACTGAAAGAGCCTGCATATGGCTCGTTTAACTGCCATCCAAGGATTGGTGAAATAATTATTAAAAAAATAATGGTAAATAAATGATGGACGTTGTGATTGACCATTTTTAGAGTTTCTGGTTATTTCGAATTTCGTTCCTTTTTTTCCTCCAAATGTGCATTATGTTTTAACTTTTTTATGGTCAGACATCCCCAAAAAATTGAGCCTTTTTAAACCCTTTTTTTATCAAATCTGAGCAAGCCTACCGTATTTACTCGATTAATTCCCCAGGGGAATTATTTTTTCAACCCATCCATGGCATGGGGAATTATTCTATGGAGGAGGATTATTCAAGTTTTGAAATTTGAACGTGTAGTAGGGTATTTGTGGAAGGGGGATTATTGTTTCAATTCATCCGCAGCAGGGGGAATTATTCGAGAGAGGGGAATTATTCAAGGTAGAGGGATTAATCGAGTAAATACGGTAATTATGTGTTTTCATAAAATTTAGCATTGAAAAGAAAGGACAGATTGTCGTTTCCACATTATCTGACCGTTATGCACTTTTTGGCGAAGAAAGGAAGGAATTTCTAAATTACTTATAGTTATTTTATGATAATAGAAAATTACATTTAATTTATAACTGATCAAACATTTACTCTCATGTTGTTTTTATCTCCATTCAAAATTATTAAATTGTTGTCGTGGAATAAATTTCTAAATTTCTCATCATTGTTGTTATTTTACGAAAAAAATAATCTTTTTTTTTATTTTTTTAAATTTTGTTTTAAATTTCATTTTATATTTAAATTTTCCTTTTAACAATAAACATTTATTATTCTAAAAAATATTTAATTGAGGAAGTTATTTTTAAATTATAGCTAAGTAAACTTCAAAGTATATAAAATAATAAATGTTTATTGTTAAAATGAAAAATTAAAAATAAAATGAAATTGAAAACAAGATTTAAAAAATAAAAAAATAAATTATTTTAATTTAAAATAACAATAAGGAAGAGAAATTTATTCCACGACAACAATCTAATAATTTTGAAAGGAGATAAAAGCAACATGAGACAAAATATTTGATCAGTTATAAATTAAATTTTCCATTATCATGAAATACTTATAACTCTAAGTAATTTTGAAATTCTTTCCTTTCTTCGTCAAAAAGTGCATAATGGACAGAGATCGTAGAAACGCGATTCTATCACTTATTTTCAATGCTAATTTTATGAAAAAAGATCATTAGGCTTGCTCAGATTTGATAAAAAAGGTTTAAGAAGGTCACTTTGGGGGATGTCTGCGTAATAATTTGGAAGTCGCCTCCATTCTTTCCGGCGGCGCGCCTACATACTTGGGCTGTATCATTAAAAAGTCTAACCATTACCTATGCACTTTTTGAGGAAAACAGTAAAGAAATTCGAACTATAATAAGAAGACTAAAAATGGTCAATAACAACGTTCATTATTTATTTACCATTATTCTTTTAATAATTATCTCACCCATCCTTGGAGAGGTACAATCCTTGGAGCTAAACGAGCCATTTACAGGCTCTTTCAGTTTCTATAATGAAATTCATTTTGGTTTTTGTGTAGAAAAATATACTAACGCGAAAAAAGATTTGTTAGTTGCTATTAGCTTTACACTATGGAACAAAGATATTGCTTTAAGTAAAGATCCACTTTGCCATGTTTGTCTTAAAGTTGATTACAACGGGAAATGGATGAAATTTAAATGAAATTTTTTAATTTTAATTTAAAGTATCACTGTCCCTGTCAGAGATATCTGTGACGAATGTTCTGCAACACACGCTAAATTGTCAAAACCTGCGTTTGAGAAACTCGAAAGTTTGTCTGAAGGAAGCGTTAAAAATGCTACGTTAACATTTGTCAAGTGTGATGGTGTGGTAGATGGAAACGAGGATGCAAATTAAATATAAGTAATGGAGGATGAATATGAAGAATGAAATTAATTCAATAAAAGTTAAAAAATCACAGATAAAAAATCACAGCAACCCCAAAAAATGTCAAAAATTACTTAAATTTTATAAAAATAAAAAGGCACTGTAAACTTAAAACGGTGCGTCTGGGGGCCGGAGGCCCCCAAATGTCCCGAACCAAAGGCATTAGACCATCCGAGACCGAAAGCCGAGGAATCTAAACACATTTAACGTAAATCGCCAAGCAAAATACCAGTCTAGCGTGCTTTTAAAGCCGCAGGCTTTCCACGCGCGTCCCTGGACGCGCTCTCAAAACGACTTCCATACAAACAACGAAACCAAACGTCTCTCCCGAGAATACTTAACCCAGAGCATCTTAATACCGAGCACCTACTTAGAGCTAGTTATTTTTAAAATTAACTTATAAAATGAACCTAAAAAAATATTTAATTGAGGAAGTATTTTTAAATTATAGCTAAGTAAACTTTGAAGTATATAATATACCGTATTTGCTCTATTAATCCCCCAGTCCTTTATTAATCCCCCAGGCTCTATTAATCCCCCACCCTGGAGATGGGCTGAAACAATAATCCCCCTCTTTCTACCCCACTCTAATAATCCCCCAGGCTCTATTAATCCCCCACCCTAGAGATGGGTTGAAACAATAATCCCTCTGGGGGATTACTAGAGCAAATACGGTAATAAAGTTTTATTGTTTAAAAGAAAAAATTAAAAATAAAATGAAATTGAAAACAAAATTTTAATAAGGAAATTAAAAAATAAATTTATTTTTTCTTAAAATTATAATAAGATGAGAAATTTATTCCACGACAATTTTTGAGTGGAGATAAAAGCAACATGAGACAAAATGTTTGATCATATATAAATTAAATGAAATTTTCTATTAATATCATAAAAAAGTAATTCATAAATTCCTTCCTTTCTTCGCCAACGAGTGCATAATGGTCAGAGATTGTGAAGCAGGGATACACGCAATTGAAATAATTTTCCCGCAAACACAATCCGCAACCCGAAAGTCAATAACGCGCAATTTCACGCAAACCTCAATACGAAATCCACAATTGCGTGCATCCCTGTTGTGGAGATGAGATTCCTTTCCTTCTTTTCAATGCTAATTTTTTTGAAAATACATCACTAGACTTGCTCAGATATGATAAAAAAAATATTAAAAAGGTCACATTTGGGGATGTCTGACCATTAAAAGTCTAACCATTGTGCATTTTTTGAGGAAGAAAAGTAACGAAATTCGTAATAAATAGAACACTAAAAATGGTTAATCACAACGTCCAATATTTATTTAACATTATTCTTTTAATAATTATCTCACCCCTCTTTGGATGGGAAGTGTACGAGCCATTTGCAGGCTCTTTAAGTTTCTATAATGAACTACACTTTGCTTTTTGTGTACCAAAAGATACTGACGCAGAAAATGATTTGTTAGTTGCTATTAGCGATAAACAATGGCGCACAGATGTAAATAAACCTGATGATCCACTTTGCCATGTTTGTCTTAAAGTTGATTACAACGGGAAATGGTAGAAATTTTAAAAGATTTTTATTCCAAATTTTAATTTTAAGCATCACAGTCCCTGTCAGAGATGTCTGCTTTGAGTGTTCAGCAACACACGCAAAATTGTCAAAACCTGCATTTGAGAAGCTCGAAAGTTTGGCTGTTGGAAGCGTTTAAAATGCTACATTAACATTTGTCAAATGTGATGGTGTGATAGATGGGAATGAGGATACAAAATAATAAATATAAGTAATGGAGGGTGAATATGATGAATAAAATTAATTCCATAAAAGATAAAAAAATAACAAATACCACAAAAAATATCAAAAACCAATGTAAATTTCATAAAAATATTTCATAATAAATCAATTCTCTTTTATTATTTTTACAATAAATTCATCGAAGAAAATCTAAAAAATTGTTTTACTGAGGAAATTATTTTTAAAATATAGCTTAGTAGAGTTCAGATAAAATCCCCAAGTTTTCACAAAGAAAAATTAAAGATCTTCCTAATCACTCGAATGTTAAAAATTTTAAATTGTTCAAACTTCGACTGAACGATTGAATATTCGACAAATTGTGGCGAATGACTCAAAAAGGATATGAAGTATCTGCTTTTACATAAGTCGAATTCAAATTCGATTTCTGCAATTTTTCTTGCTTGAGCAGTTGAATCTGCTAATTATTTCGAGTATTGAATTTTCTAGGACAAAACTTTTCAAATTTCAATGTTTACTCATCGAAAATACAATGGCCCCCTCCAGCTGAATGTCCCCTTCTAATACAATGGTCCTTTGGAGCAGAGGTGTGTCGGAATTCCGACTTCCGAAAAAATTTTAATTTCCGATTTTCGAGTTCCGACTTTTGAGCCTGTTCCGATTTCCGACTTCAGACATCTCCGATTGTAACGACCCACCTCTGCTTTGGAGGATGATTAAAAAAGTAGAAAGGTCGACTATTCTAATAATGATTCTACGTTGATTATTTTTTGAAGGAATGTACTTTTTCCACGTAAAACTGAAAAAAAATTATTTAAAGTTGCAAAAATAAAATAATAATGTGTTGGATAATTTTTATTAAAAATATTTTCAAATAAAAAAGTCTAAAAAATATATACATTTTTATTACTTAATTTTACGATTAAAAGTCAAGAAAAATATGTAAATATTTACAAAGAATAGTTTGGTATTTTTAACGCCAACAATAAATGTAAAAATTAAAAAAATAAAAAATAAATATTAAAGTTGCGAAAGTAAATCAATATTTAAAATTTTGAAATATTAAAGTATTTTTTTAATTTTATTTGCCACTTGGAAAAGTGAAAATATGAAAATTTTAAATTAATTAAAACAAGTGGAAAATTAAATTAAAGCAAATATAGGTAGTATGTATGTTATTGGAGTAGGATCTGATCAAAAATATGATCAAGAAGCGTTTTGAAAATATGTAGGTATTTTGGAATTGATTATAGGTATTAGGTGTTGCTCGAGACAGAATACCTAGTTTCTTTCGGATTTATTTTTATTTTACCATGCAGAATTTTGTGGAAGAATTTAAAGTTAGTTTTTAGTCTCCTAGTTGTAGTGAGTCGATTATAAAAATTTGTAGAAGGTTTTGATATTCAGGAATTAGGATTTTGTTATAAAATCTCTGTCAGTTTTGAAAAACTCGGTAATGGATTTATATTAAAGTTCATTGTATCTTATAAAAATCTTCTTAAAATTTTATTTTTCTAAATACGTAGTACCAAAAATATGAGCAAAAATTATTATAAATTTAAAAAAATTAAAAATCCAACACACAAATAAATTTTTATATTCATTTATTTTATATTTTTTTAGTAAAGGAGTAAGGGGCTTTAAAAGAAGTAAAAGACAACACATAATTTTATTCATAAAATTAAAATAAGATTCATATAAAATTAAATATGTATTTTTATTTAATTAATTTATTTATTTTAATTAAATTAATTAATTCCCAAGATTTATTTACATCTTCTGCAGAATTACAACAATTAGTACATGTAGAAAAAGAAATTCCAAAAATTATAGAAAATTATATTTTATTGGAAAATAAACGTTTGGAAAATTTAAAAAGGTATTTTATAATTAAATTAATATTTAAATTTATAGAGGTGATATTAATAATCTCTAATTAAGAGTAAAAAGTAGGGTAGTTCCCCGTCTCCCGAACCCAGACCCAAAAGTAAACCCGACCACGAACCCCGACATGCTCTTCCTAGCAACTTTCAACCACGTAAGAACAAGGAGCTACCATAGTAAAAAGCTGTATAATATCTTTAAATGAAGATATAACCTTAATTGAAGGTGATATGTGGGGACTGGGTAGGGAACATGGATGTCACATATTGAGTAAAATGTCGGGTCGAGTTAAGAGTGCAAAATACTTACGTTTGGATTTTCAGAAGGCTCATTGATATAAAGTGATTTGGAAGATGTTGAAGAATTGGGGTATAATGGGGTTTCTTTTTAACTATTCTCTGACCCCCTTAATATCTGCCCCATTTTATAAAAATTAATCTACGAAAAAAGTCAACTCGGGGTTCGGGTGTAGATTTGGAATAGAAAACTTCAAGGGTTAAGTTTCGAGCTGAAAAGGAACAGGTTATAGGATAAGGTAACCTGTGATGGTGAAATTTATGTGATTTTCAATAATAAACATTTTATAAAGAGATAATTAACTAATAAATTTTTAAATAATTTTAGTATTGCAAATAAATATTCAAAAGACAAAAGTGAATTATTTGAATTGGAACCAAAAAGTGTTTTGAATCCTTTAATTGCTCTTAGAGTAATCAAAAAATTAACAAAAACTTGGAAAGAAATTAAGAAAGAAATTCAATCAGATTTGGCTGAAAATTATTTAAAAAATATTTCAAAACAAAGAGAAACTCGTTTTCCTAATGAGGTGGGATTTTTTATAGAGGAAAATCCGTTAGCTACCCACAAATTGAGGGCCAGCTTGCTATAACTTTTTTGGGCCAGATCCCATTTGGATGTTCATTCGAAGCCGTCGATAATCGATATCTTTTTTGTGATTGGGCAGATCAAATCTATCACTCATTAAAGTTATAACGCGATAATTCAAGCCGTTAACAAGTGATCAGATCTGATTCATCAACTTGTAAAAAAGATACTGTTTATCGAAGGCTTTCGAATGATATAAAATTCAAATTTAATGGATCAAATTCAAAAAGTTATAGCGGATCAGCATCGGCTGTCACTCAATTCTTAGGTGTTTAACGGATAAGTACCTTTATTTTTCCTGCAATCTCCCTTATATTAAAAAATATTTTTCTAAAAAAGGATGATTTAAATGGAGCAATTCAAGGATTATTTCGTTTACAAGATACTTACCATTTAAAAACTAAAGATTTGGCTAATGGAATTGTTGAGGATGTTAATATAAACAAACAAATGGATGGTTAGATTTTTTGATTATTAAATTATATAAAATTTATTTCAGCTAAAGATTGTTATGAAATAGGTTTGGCTGCATATAATGATAAGGTTAAAATTTTCTTAGCTTTAAAAATCATAAAAATTTCGTCTACGAAGCTAAAATGGAAATTTCTGAGTAAGGGAATTTCTACTAGGTTCGTAAAAACCATCAAAAACTTGGAAATTAAAACTAAAGTAAGAGGATTTGTTGATAAAAAAGCCACTTAATGTCCAATACCACCCACTGCTTATTAGCCTTAAAAATCAAAACGCCTACGGCGCTAATGTGAGGAATTGTAGACATTTAAGAAAACACTCTCCTACTGATACCAACCATAATTATTAATTTAGTTTGTAGGGCTTTTTAACTGGGAGATATCAGACGATAAAATCATGACCACCCCTGGAAGGGCCACCCCCAATCCACACCCGATGCCAAAAACCCCAACTCGAAGCCTGAAAGTCGATCAGATAAATCCCCTCCCCGATTTCAATTCGGGAACAAATAGGCGTTTAATTTGTAATTATAATATTATTAAAAAGGATTATTATCACTCAATATTATGGATGGAAGAAGCAAATGAACGATATTATTCACAAAAAGAATTTACACAAAATAAAACTGATATTTTAAATATTTGGTCAATTTCTTTATATAAACAAGGAAATTTAAAGAGAGCTTTAATTATTAATGATAAATTAATTGAATTAGGTAATTGATAAAAATTAAATTAATTAAAAAATATTTACCCTTAAAAGATCCTTTATATCCAAATGCAACAAATAATTCAAAATTAATTGAACAAGAATTATTAGATAATGGAGTTGCTAAAGAAGATTTCCGTATAAATATACCTCCATTAAATATTACAAGAACGAATAATGCTTCTAATTTATTTCCTGCATTCCGTAAAGCTTATGAAGAACTCTGTCGTGGTGAAAAAGAAATTGTTTGTTAATTAAAAATGGGGATATCCTTTGTTAACCAAAATGGGTTATGTATATCCTATTTCTAATTTCAAAGCAAACATTAAATTTTTAAACTTTATTATTAGGTATTTGTACAAGCTAGATATGTAGTATGTTATTTTAAACATCGGGGAATGTTTTGCTCTAAGGGGAATGAAAAGTTTTGGAAGGTATAACAAACTTTTCCGACTTAACAATAGGCCCGTGTTTTTTAAATTTAACAATAGACCCACAAAGCAACCATTGACAAGCGTCTCGCCGATTCCTATAGGTTTGCTTTGACTCTTTTGAGCGTGCGAATAGATGGGGTGATTACGTAAAGCAAATGAGTTCCGATTAAATAATAATTAAGATTAAGAAATTTAGTGTTAACATATGCTTTTAAAGTACATTTGTATACATGGGGGAGAACCAATAAAATTATTTAAAAACAAATTTTCCAATTTATTTTTTAGAATACAACAGAAATATCCCAACTTTATTGTTATTACAAAATGGATTGTTCATTTCTTCGTTTAGCCCCAATTAAAGTTGAAATAGTTCGATACGATCCTTTAGCCGTTATATTTCGAAATGTTATTGGTGATGGAGAGATTGAAATAATGCAGAATATAGCGTTAAAAAGATTAATGATAGCTAGAGTTCAGAATGCTGCTACGGGTGAAGCCATGCTTTCAAAATATAGAATTAGCAAAAAGTTTGGCTTAAAATATTAGTTATATTTTAATTAAAATTAAGTGCCTGGCTTAACGCAAACACCCATCCAGTCGTTAAACAATTATTTGAACGTTTAAAATTAATGACTAATTTAAATATGAAGTCAGCTGAACCTTTTCAAGTAAAAATAAATTTGAAAAAATTTTTCTTAAATTTTATTTTAAAGATGGGAAATTATGGAGTTGGTGGACAATATGAACCTCATTTTGATTTTGCTAGGGTCTGTTTTAATTTTTTGGCTTTAGTTGCTTTATTTTTGGCAAAATTAACGCAAAAATATATGGTAGAAATCTGTCTTCTAGTCTAATAAAATTCTCAAAATTTTCCTCTGCTGCGCTAAAAAATTCTTCAGACCTTTATATCACCAAATAAATTTAGTATCGTTGAAATTTAGTGCGATAAATTTCTCTTGCTGATGATCCCCATTTTAACTCAAGGTGGGTCCTCTAAGATTCCTAGTTTCAGGACCGAGATAATTAAAACGAAGATTTAATTGGAACTAGTTTTTGTTTATATTTATAATAAGGCTGTATGTATCTTTATCTCAAAGAGCTCAAAATTTGGACTGGCTATAATTCGCATATTTTATTTGAAAAAATTTTAGATTTAAAAATATATTTTGTAGGAATTTGAAGCTGTAAATGCAACAAAAGGACATCAAAATATGGGAATTGGGAATAGAATTGCAACAGTTCTTTTATATTTAAGTACCCCAGAAAAGGGCGGATTTACTATTTTTAATCAGATAAAAACAATTGCTAAACCAACTAAACATGATGCTCTTTTTTGGTATAATTTGTGGAGAAGTGGAAAAGGAGATATAAGAACGATGTTTGGGTTTTTTTTAACAAGGGTAGCAACCCGACCCCAATAACCCCGATCCCGACCCCGACGGATTTTTTGGAGAAAAACCCTGACCCGAGCCCCGAAGGGTCTACATGACAAACCCCAATCCGTTGACACACCCGCCTTCGAAGGGTCGAGTTGCTACCCTATTTTAAACTATTTATTTATTACTTAAAGAGCTGTTTCGTATTTTCGTTTTCGGATTTTCTAAGATTTTTTTGTTTCGAAAAAGCTCTTATTACTTATTTAGGCATGCAGCCTGTCCCGTTCTGCTTGGTGATAAATGGGTTTCCAATTCTTGGATACACGAAAGAGGACAAGAATTTATTCGTCCATGTGGTTTAGATCCATCAATACAAGAACGTTATGTTGGTGATTTGGGGGGTCCGGAACCTAAAAAATATCCAAATTTATCTCCATATTGTAAAGAAGGATTATATTGTGAATGAAAATATTTGTGATATTTATTTATGTGATAATTTTATTTCTGTTAATCTAAATTATTCTTTCAACCTTCTGTAGAACATTAAACATAAATTATTTTCTACCATGATAATAAAAACTACTATTATCAGTTTTTGGAAGGTGTATTTTAATAATGTTTATGACATCTTCAAGGAACAAATAAACAAATACTCACTTCGTATCTTTATCAGTTAATGTTTAGAAGATATCACGGGAACAGAGAATCTTCCAGCATTTATTGTAAGAAAATTAGAACTCAGTACCGAATAGGATTTTTTGTTCATTGGACGTTGAGCCTGACAAAATAAATTTGAAAATTATTGTTTGCTTATGTGATATTACTATTTATGGGATGCTTCTATAATGATAGGATGCATAAAAGCTCACCCTAAACTAGGCCCAAAATTTATTAGAATGTTTTATTAAGAAAGTTATTTTTAAATTAGCTTAGTAAACAAAATAAATAAAATAATAAAAAATAATAAATGCTTAGAAAAATGTTTAAAAACAAATTTTTTTCTAATAAAATAACAATAAGATGAGAAATGTATTCCACGCATCATAACAAAAATTAACAGATTTTGAGGGAAATAAAAGCAACTTGACATAAAATATTTCATCAGTAAATTTAAATTTCAATTATAAATTTCGTTTTGAAATTCGTTCCTCCTTTTTTCTTTCCTTAAAAAGCGCATAATGGTCAGAGTTTTAGTATTCCTCAATTCCCCTTTATTTTCTTTTGGAATGCTTAAATCTGATAAAAAAACACCTTAATCCAGTGAATATTACTTTAAGTCCAATTTATTAACAGGCTTGATTTCAGTGAAGAAGTACATGATTCTAAAAGCCTTTCATTTATAATTTAGTCATTTACGTTTATTCTCAAATAATTACCCTGGGTAATCGCTGGAGAGGGTAATTAATAGGGAGGGACATTTTTAAATCTCATGGAAGTCTTGACATTTAAAAATGCCTGAACATTATGCAGTATTTTGAGAAGGAATGAAATTCAAAATACCGTATTTACTCGATTAATTCCCCACCCTCGAATAATTCTCCACCCCCTATTAATTCCCCATGCCAGGGATGAGTTGAAAAAATAATTCCTCGGGGGAATTAATCGAGTAAATACGGTATCCATTATCTTTAAAGATGTTCAATCACAACTTACATTTTTTGTTTACTATTATTCCTTTTTTAATAATTATTTCCTCAATCCATGGATGGGAGTTAGACGAGCCATTTATAGGCTCATTGAGTTTTTATAGTGATCTACTATATGGTTGGTGTGTAACAAAACCGACTGATTCAGAACATGATTTGTTAGTTGCTGTTAGCACGACACTATTTAAAACAGGAATATTTCCAAGTCAAGATCCACTTTGCCACGTTTGTCTTAAAGTTGATTACAACGGGAAATGGTAGAAATTCTTAATTTTTGTTCTAAATTTTAATTTTAAGTATCACAGTCCCTGTCAGAGATATCTGCTATCCAAATGAATGTTCTGCAACAGACGCTAAATTGTCACAGCCTGCGTTTGAAAAGCTCGAAAGTTTGTCAGTTGGAAGCGTTCAAAATGCTACATTAACATTTGTCAAATGTGATGGTGTGACAGATGGAAACGAGAAAAAAGTATAAATATAAGTAATTGAAGATGAATATGAAGAATAAAAATTAAATTGATAAAAGATGACAAATCACAGATAAAAAATCACAACAACCACAAAAAATATCAAAATAAACTTAAATTTCATAAAAATATTTCCTAATAAAACAATTCTCTATTATTATTTTTAGAATAAATTCATCGAAGCAAAATAAAAAAATTGTTTGATTGAGGAAATTATTTTTAAATTATAGCTTAGTAAACTTCAAATAAAAAGCAATAAGTAACTGTTTAAAAAGAAAAATTAAAAATAAAAATTAAAAAAAATATATTATTGACTCCTAAAATAACAATAAGATGATAAATTATTCCACGAAGCATGTCAACAATCTCCATTCAAAATTAACAAATTTTAATGGGGATAAAAGCACGATGACACAAATTATTTAATCATTAAATTAAATTTTCAATTAGAAAATAATTGTGTAGAATAGGCAAACTGTTCTATTCCTTGATACCTACCCTTTTGTGGTAAAATAATTTAAATTTTATTCATAAGAATGGTTGGGGTTTTCGAATCGTGCCTATGTTCGAGTAATTTTTTTCTGGGCTCATTTTTATCGAACCGGACTGTTCGAGTCTTTTTCGGGACAAAATTCGATGTCCAATTCGATCTTTCGAACGAACAAACCGGCCCCTAACCCTCTTCATAAGGTTCTGTGTAAAACTTGCTGACCACTAAAAAAGGTTTGGCAATTCTACACATTTTGAGTAAGGAAAAATTAACAATAATTCCAGAAATGCTCAAGGACACCATTCACTATTTATTTACCATTATTTTTTTAATAATTATCTCCTCAAGCCTTATCATTGGATGGAAGTTAAACGAACCATTAACAGGCTCGATTAGTTTCTATGATGAATTACGTTATGGCTTTTGTGTAGGAGATCCGACTGATGCATAAAATGATTTGTTAGTTGCTATTAGCAATACAGAATGGACCTTTAGTTTAGTAAATGATTCGCTTTGCGATGTTTGTCTTAAAGTTAATTACAACGGGAAATGATAGAAATTCTTAATTTTTGTTCTAAATTATAATTTTAAGCATCACAGTCCCTGTTAGAGATGTCTGTGACGAATGTTCAGCAACACACGCCAAATTGTCAAAACCTGCGTTTGAGAAGCTTGAAAATTTGCCAGTAGGAAGCGTTCAAAATGCTACATTAACGTATGTTAAATGTGATGGTGTGATAGATGGTAAAACAAAATCATATTAATAATAAGTAATTGAAGCTGAATATGAAGAATAAAAAATTAATTTAATAAAAAATAAATATTAAGATCAATTTAAAAATTAAAAAAAAATTTATTTTTTATGTCCATGAATAAAAATTATTTTTCTGCTCAATAAATCTTTATGGGTCAATTGTGCTTGCGCATATTATGCGCTATGTGTCAACAAAAAGTTTTAAACCATCCATAAGTTTTTATTTTATTAAATTTATTTTTAGAATTTGTACTCATATAAAATTTAATTTTTAAGAAATTTCAATATCAAAATACATCAGGGAAGAGACTAGACCTTTAAATGGAAGGGCAATGCTTTGAACTGATCCATGTACTTTTAAAATTGAAAATGTACTCTATTTAAATGTCTATTAACCACTTTTTATAGATTCAAGCCTCCTAAATCCTGTAAATGGCCATAGTATCTAAAATTAAAATGAGCAGTCATTTACTCATGGGCACCATATTTCATCAAAATATCCACCTCCCAAGAGGATTCGAGCGACCTGAAATCTGAACCTTTAAACACGAGATATAGACCCGTCTAGACATCGGCCCGATAATTTTCTCGACCCTTTTTAAGAAATTATTGAATTGATCACTCTAAATATTCAGAAAAACAATCATTAAATTCAAAAATAATTTAGCTAATTTTCCGCTTATTAGCTTGAATAAAAACAAAAAATATTCACATTTTTCATTCTTTATACCGGTTTTTCTCGTTGAGTTTGAATTCAATCGAATTTGACAGCATTTATATTTTATATTGGTTATTTCTTCCAACAATTTCTTATTCCTCAGATTTTTCATTTTTCTCAATTTTCGGCCGTTTGCCGTTGAGAGAATAAGAGAGAAAATGCTTAATCCTCTTCTCGTGAATCGCGATTACACCACCCATATATTCGCTTTAAATTTTTATTTTGGGGTAATTTTTAGGATGATTGTTATACCTGACTATGGGTATGATTAGACTTGGAAGGTGTACGAATAACTTAAATTTTCGTTCGAGATCTCGTCACTGTCCGATATCTAGTAATCTTTGGACCACCCATATATTCGCTTTAAAAATTAATTTTGGGGTAATTTTTTATTGAATTTTATGCATGCCAAAGGTTATGATTAGATACCGAACAGGAAGGGTTATGATCACTTCGAAAAATAGCGATTCGATATCCAAAATTTTTGTTCGAGGTCTCATCTCTGCCCAATCTCTGGTCATAACTTAAACAAGATAACAGCTGATACATTCACTCATTTAACAAATTTTGGGGAAAACTCGGGTAGCAAAGACACTTCTATTAGCGATAATTTCCGACCTAAAACCCGACGACCTCGGAGACCCACTTTCCTTAAATTTTGCCCAAGTTCGTGTTTCAATCGGTTGAGACTATCCAATATTATCCAATAATAATGTCAAATCATTTAAGAAAAATTTTAATTTCCGTCAAATCGTTTGCGACTAAATAGGCACCCAGTTCCGCCTCCTCCAACAAATTCTTTCCTTATTATTTTTTCCTTCCCCCACAATTTTCCAAGTATTTTCTCCTTCAAAATGACCATTGTAACATCAAATGCACTTTTTTCTCTCCTCCAAAAATTTTCTTTATACAAATTGTGGGCAAACCATGCAACACGCAAATCATTCTGTTCTTTGCTTTGCGCAGATCTTTAAGAGAAAAACTTGGTTTAAAAAATTATTTATTCCTGTCAGACATATTTTCCAGCTGACTTTTAAAAAAGCTTTTTTTAAAGATGTATTTTCAATTTTTATTACATACAAATAGTTTATTTAAATTATTTAAATTTAAATTTGTTATGTTTACTAAAAAATTACCGTAATAGAAGCCTATGGCTATTAAAGTAGAATGGGCTAATGCGCAGATCATCTAAATTTTCGCTGATTAGAAATTCGAGATTATTCTATAAAATCTGTTAAAATTTTCTATAATTAAATGCTTTTCAATTTTTTCTAATTTTATTTTTATTAGTTCTATACACATTAAGAATTTCAACATTTTACAAATTTTGAGCAATTTTTGACAAAACTTTATTTTAAATAATGTAAATTTGCCAAAAATTGCCAAAATAAACACCGAAATATGCAAAAATATGCATTTTGGACCGGGTCGTTCCTAAATGTTCAGACCAACGTAAAAAAATCATTTTGGGGGTTTTTACATTAACGCATATCCGCATACAAAATATGAATTTGCATGTTTGTTTCCCCCTGCCTTCTATAATTTTTTTTACTTTTTTCAAAATTATTATTTAACAATCATTTTTATTATAAGCCTATAAAATTTTCTTATCTTTAAATACATTAATTATCTGTCTGTTTATTTTTATACTATCTTGTTTTAATTTATCAATTCATTAAAAACAAAGAAAAATAAAATGAGCCAAAAAAGTACTAAAAATTTTTACAAAATAATCGGAAAAAATCCAATTTTTTCCTATTTAAATTAAAAATAAATTTTGGCATAATGGTACTTTTCCGTTAACTCTACGAACTTTTTGCGGACTTTTTTCCTTCATTTTCGGAGGAAGATGTAAATAAATGTCATATTTCTTTCGTCAATTTCTCTCTATATCCCTATTGTATATTCAAATCAGAGATGGGTACTTTTGAGTTATCTCATAACAGTTTTTGCGGACAAATTCTCCGAAAAAAAGAAGGAAAAAATCCGCAAAATGTCTGTAGGGATAACGGAAAAGTACCTGCATAATTTATTATTAAATTAATTTATTTTTAATTTTCAAAAAATTTTGCGTCATTCCAACAATTTATTTTATTATTATTTTATAATGTTCCACATTTATGTACATTTCCCCCTTCCCTTTTTAAATATATCCTTCAATAAATGCTTATATTTTTAGTATTTTGTTGGAACGAGTTTTTGGACTTGCAAAATTTGTAGGGGAAGTGTGTAGGCATTTATAGAAGAGGAGAGGAAAAAGATCAAGTTTTTTGATTGCAAAATTGTGCAATAATATATGTAGCAAAATTATTACAATCTAAAGTTTAAAAATTATTAGGCCATGAAACAAATTATAGAGAGGGGGGGGGGGGTGTTCTTCAAATAATGATACTAATTTTATAACTTTTTTCTCATCTTTATTTTTTGATTCACAATTTTCTTTTCATTGCCAAGAATACATGTCCAAATTTAATCATATTAAAATTCAATCTAAAATTTGGAAATCTTGATTATGATACCCGAGAATAAATAAAATTTTGGTAAGATTTAGTCCATCCTTGTTTTTTCGTCCGTCCGTTCTCTCATTTTTTGCTTTTTAGAATTTTGTAGACTCAGAATTATTCCTTAGATCGCTTAAAATTTTTTAAAATATTTATTTATGTACAGGGTTCGACGTCGATTTTTAAATGAAAATATAAACTAGGTTCTAGCCGAAATCAAAATGAAATTCCCGATTTTCGGGAATCGGGTCGGCTAGATCCCTGACATAAATCGACACATTTCTGAATCTTTTCAAACATTTTTCAATTTTTAATTCAAAATTTAATATTTCTTAGAATTTTTTTTATTTTTAAAAAATCTCATTATTAAAAATATTATTATTTGTTTTTTATTTAGCTGCTTTCTCTTTTTTCTAATTTATACTTTACTCTCTTCTTTTTTTTGTTAAATAACAAAAACAAAAGAAATTATTAAGGAAAATCAAGTTATTAAAGAACTCATCTCCTTTCTCGCCTTAGGGCTCGTAAATCTTTGCGAGTTTATTTTTTGGTGTTTTCTATGCGGGATAAACACAACGATGCGCGATTTTATGCTAAACAAATATAAATAAGCATTTTAGCTTTAATTTATATCGAGAGGATGATTAGAGTAAAAATGTTTTGGCTAATTATTAATTTCGAAAGCTTCAGGAAATTTTTTTTAATTCTTATTGCCTCTTAATTGAAATTTAAAATTGAAAAAAATTAATTTTTAAAAATAATTAAAAGAAAATTTTTTTTAAATTAAAAATAATTTTCGCTGTGCTCAATACCCTTCGAAACTCCCAAAACTTTTTATGGAGGGACATAGGGTTTTTGTTATTTTTCGAATCATTTATTGCCGAAATAATCTTTCGAAAATGTCGTAGGAGAATTTTTAAACATTTTTTGTTCATTTATAACGTGGTCACTATAATTAATGTTGCCGTTTTCGAGTCGGGCCGACGTTCGATTAATTTTTTCGAGCTTCAGCTTTATCGGGCCGGACCGACCAAGTCTTTTTCGGACCAAAATTCGATGCCCGACTAGATCTTTAGGACCGAACCGGGCCGGCAACTCTACAAATAACTCTCTAAATTTAAATACTGTTCCAATATTTACCTTCTTTAAATTTAATATTAATCATTTGTTTAATCACAAAAATTTTTTCTAGATTTTATTAAGCCATTTTTTCAATTAAAATTTAGACTCTAAACGTTAATTTATATTCTTAATTAATTACTTGACAACAACTTCAATCCATATTTATAAATTAAAAACACGTTTTTCTTTTGTTTTTTAATTATTTTCTATTAAAATACTAATCAAATAAAAATTATTTTTTATTTTTTCGAGAATTATTTTAATTAATTATTCAATTTTTTGGAGAAATTATTTTTTAAAAATTAATTTTTCATAATTTACTTGGTCCCAGATGTTGATCAGAAATGACGAAGGTGACAGAAATCGGAATTCCGATCGGAAATCGGAATTCCTTAAGTAATCTGCCGGACCAAGATGACATCTCGAACAAATATCTCGGTTATTGAGAATCGAGATTCTTTGAGATATCTATTTCGATTTTTAGACAATCCTACGAGTCTGGTCTCTATTCTGGACAGCCTTAATTAAATATTGAATCATGATATAAGCAATGATTGGGGCTCGTAACAAACTTCATATACGTACCTGTGTCATATACGTATACGTATATTTGTGTCATATACGTATATTTACATGTCATATACGTATATTTACGAGTACGAGGTACGAGGCCAAAAATATGGCTTGTACGTGTACGAATGCGAGCAAATTTTAAAATTCCAACGACTGGATATAAGGAATCTCTATAAATAACGAAACTTTTCGTCGGTCCCTTCAAGTTCTACATATGTAATTTCAAATAAATTTTCATTAACTTGTTAGAAAAATTTTTTGAATAAATTTCACGCCTTTTAAAATTTTCAGAAGCGAATTAACCTTTAGTTTATTTTTAAATTAATAACCAAAATTTTTGAAAAAATTTTTTTCCAAATTTTAAATATTTATTTATTATTTTATATACGTAATAATCTTGTTTTACAATAAATTTATTAAAATAAGAAATTTTTTTTTGCATAAATTTCAAATAAAAATAGAAAGGAAATTAATAATTTCCTTGCAAATATTTTTTCATTTCACTTTTATAATTAATTTACTTTCCAAAATTTTTAATATTTATTATTTCTTTTTAATTATTTTTATTTTTGGAATTTCTAAAAATTTTTTTAGTTTAGAAAAAAAATATTTTATTACCCAAATAAAAACTATAAATTTAATAAAGATTGATGGGAGGGTTTTCAAAGTTAGTACGTACATCAATTGAACAGCCTTTATTTATTTTAATTATTTTATTATTTGGAATATGGGCAATTGAATTATTTAGGTAATTTTTAAATTATTTTGAATGCTTTTTAAAATACTTAAAAAATTCCAAATTCAAAAAATGAGAGAAAATCACATGCGATTCTTCTCTTTTCCATTTATCATTCGAAATAATTTGACTTTAATTTTTGTTTAAGCATAATAGCATTAAACAAAGATTCGTATTTTTGAAATTTTTTCAAGGGAGAAATAATCTAACTTTAATTTAGAGGTCTGTAAAATCACAATTTTGAGATCCCGTAACTAGATTTACTTAAAATTTTCTATGGGACAAAACCTAAAATTATATTACTCCCAATAATCCTGCCCTACTAGAAATTGTAAAAAACAATTTTGGAATCCCATACTGAATTCTGTACAGGACTGAATCCCGTACCTTATCAATTTCCTCATGATATAGGTATCTTACAACAATCATAAATAGTATTTTTGTTTTTCTTATCATTTATCAATTTTATCAAAAAAAAATTTACTAAAACAGGACAATAAATCGGACAACCTGGCTACTTCTCTTAACAACGGGAATTATTTTTCTATTACTAAAATTTAGAGATATGAAGGAAAAAATAAATATTCTTGGGGATTTTGTACATCGTTCTTGGCTAACTTTGGATAGGGACTTGACGTAATTTTATTAAAAAATTTTTTTAAATAAATTAAAAAGCGGTCTTCGCCTTCTGGTTAAATTACGTTGGGATATGAGACGTCGAATGCGTGAAAATCGGGGACTTCATAAAATTTTTTTGGACGTTGTTCGTGCTAATCCAAATAAAATTTGTATTGTAGATATTGTTAGTTTTTTTAAATTAATTTTTAATTAAGTTAATAATTTATTTATTAGGATTTAAGACTGTCTTATTGTTAGTTAGAATTTTTAGTATGCTTTTTGTTGTGTCCAGGAGATTTTCTTAGGATATCCGAAACCGACAACCATGATATTGTGTTAGTCCAACATATATGGAGGGGCCCTTAAATCCTCTCATATAGACTTGTTCTGATAAGGGTAGATTGGAGACTGAACTAAGCATTGATTAAGACTCCGAACAACTCAACCGTTGTACGAACATGGTGTCCTAGCTCCTATTTTTAGGACAGAAGTCAGCATAAATAAAAGGCCGATTAAAATCCTTAAAAAATATTCGAGTTTTAGGAAATTCCGAATTCTTGTATAGGTATATAATAAATTCATACTGAAAATTTAAATTTTTATATTAATTTAAATAAAAATTTTAATAATTTATTTAAAGGGCTCAAACCGTTCTTACACTTTCTCTCAATTAAATTCTTTATCTAATCGTTTCGCTAATCATTTCCGAAATAATGGATTTAAACGGGGCGATGTTGTTGCTTTGTTTATGGAGAATGGAGCAGAATTTGTTGCTGCCTGGATCGGTTTAATGAAAATTGGGGTAATTACAGGTAAAATGATTTTCTTGATTTTTGAACTTAAATTTTTAAAAAAGTAAAATTTATTCTTGGTGATTTTGTTTATATTAGTTCAAAATAAATCAACTAAGATTTTTCTTACACAATTAATTTTTCGTTCAAATACGTGCTTATAACCCCAAGGAAAATATTGAAAAGCAGCTTAGTTAATGTTTATTCAAACTTAGATCAGTTCTGATCAAGAGCTTAACCAATATCATTCATTCACCCGCTCGCTTGCGTGGCCTCTGGGGACTTTATAATTCACAATCACCATCTTTTAATTAATTTCACTAAATTCTGTTAACCGAACTGAAAATCTTCGTTTCGGTATAAAACCTGCCAAATAGAATTTATAATTGAACTTTAATTTATTTAAATATTATTTTTAAGCATGGATTAATTCCAACTTGCGCCTTGACTCTTTAGCCCAGTTCGTTTTATTTAAAAATTTATTTAATTTTTAAATTTCTAGTTGTTTACGTGTTTCAGAATGCAAAGCAATTATTTGCTCAAATTCACTTTATCAATGTAGACATTTAAAAAAAAATATCTTTAAAAATTTCCCTTTAAATTTTTAAGTTTATCAAAAAACAAAAGATGCGGGTCTATTAAATTTACAAAATATTCAAGAATTTATAATTGACAATAAAAAAATAATTAATAATTTCGAGGATAGTCGAATATTATCTTATAATTGGTTAAATAATGCAGAAGCTGCAGAACCGATACATGATGATACAATTAATTTTCATTCTCTCCTTTGTTTTATTTATACAAGTGGAACTACTGGAATGCCTAAACCTGCTTGTATTAAGCACTTCCGGTTGGGGAATTTTAAGAAAAAAATTATTTTAATACTACAGCGGGATCTTTATAAAATATATGTATATCATCCTTCGAGACCGACCGGACTTTGCTGACATATATAGAAAAGTGATACACATCACCCATACTTAAGATGGGTGATCAACTGGAGTTTAAAACCAATAGTAGGCGGGAGTTTAAGATCTGTTAAAATAGAAAGCTTAGTCGTTAGAGCGTGGTGATCAGAAAAAGAAAGCCTGGCTTGGGCTGACCTTTTACTCTGAGAAGGAATCTCAAGCTGCTATCTAGAACCTACTAATTCAAATTCCAAAAAAGTCAAGCTTGGCGCCCTCCTGTAAGATGCCCTCTTAGGAAGGGCCCTCCTACCCTCCTATAAGCTTTGCTTTTAATTTAAAAAAACACTTTACTAATATAAGATTTTATTAATTAATAAAATTTAAAGTTGTTATTCAATGGTTGTTGGTTGTGCCTATAGTTTTGGTTTATTACCAACAGATAAAATATATATTTCAATGCCTTTATATCACACTGCTGCTGGAATCCTTGGTATTGGTCAAGTGTTATTTAGAGGAGCTAGTTGTGCTATTAGACAGAGATTCTCTGCTAGTAATTTTTGGAAAGATTGTGTAGATTATAATTGCACTGTAAGCTATTTATTGGAGATTTTAAAGTCAAATATTTTCCAATGGTCAAAATTTAAGACCAAAAGTCTCGTACGTGAGGGAACGAGAGGTTTTAAGAAGATATCTTCCTATCTCTCTTAATCTTCAAATCCCCGATTTTTAAAATCCTACAATCCCCAAATTCTACTAATCCCTCAAGTCCGCTTATTCCTACCAATCCCTGATAGACTCTTGATCCACAAATCCTCAAATATCCTTTCTTAATACCCCAAATGACCCTTACTCTCTCCTTATTGCTCGATATAATCTCTCAGAGAGATCCCACGGATGGGGGGTAAACGGTTTTGCTTGCCGAATGAGGGAACATGGATGTTACTATTTTCTTTTTAATGTAAAAAGGCTTGGCTACATTTATTTTGATACCCTAAATTTTATTAAATTACTTGTTTCATAGTTATAATTTAAAATAATCCACTTTCTAGTCAAGTCAATATATTGGTGAGATTTGTCGGTATTTATTAGCTCAACCTATTGGTGAATATGAGAAAAAACATAAAGTTCGTATAATGTTTGGGAATGGATTGAGAGCAGAAATATGGAAAGAATTTGTGGAAAGATTTAATGTTAAAATTGGTGAATTGTATGGATCTACTGAAGGAACTTCTAATTTAGGTAAATAAAACAATGTCAGAACTCGTTATAAGTAGAGATCGGAATTTTGTTCATACCGTATTCCGTACCGTAATACCGTATAATACCGATACCGAAAAATACCGATAAAATTCAAAATTTTACCGTTTCGTAAAACGGTACGGAATACCGAAAAATACCGATAAAAATTTATCGGTATTCCGTACCGTATTTTAAAAAACTAATTTAGTTAAAAATAATTATTTTTATTTATAAATTGGGGGGATAAACAGACGCAAGCGAAAATTTTGAGGAGATGTAAGTCCAAGAAGCAAGATTTCTTCAATTTTTAGCGCCGCAGGCGAAAATTTTGAAAATTATCAAAGGCCGAGAGCCTTTTTTCACTTAAAATAAAATAAAACTTTGATAATTTTTATCGATCGGTATTATCGGTATTTTGTTTTGTTTCCGTTCCGTAAAACGGTACGGAATACCGAAAAATACCGATACCGAAAAATACCGATCAACTTCAAAATTTTACCGTACCGTATTCCGTACCGTATTACCGATACGGAATACCGATAAATACCGAAAAATACGGCCGTAGTACGGTACGGTCCGATCTCTAGTTGTAAGTTACATTCATATGTACACACCAGGGTTCCTAACGTCCTAATTTCCGAAAATCGGGAATTTCCGAGATTTTTTGGGTCGGGATCAGACGTGGGCGAAACGTTTCGTTTCGTTTCGTTGTTTCGTATGTTTCGTATGATTTTTACTGTTTCGTCTCGTTTCGTTACGAAACACTTTTAAATTTGTTTCGTTTCGTTTCGTTACGAAACACCTGTGATTTTTCAACGAAACGAAACAATTTTTTAAGCCTAAACTAAGGCCAAAATCTATAAAATTTACCATCTTTTATTGAAAATTTAAAAAATTTTCGCCTGCGGCGCTGAAAAAAAAAGAATTTCGGCTTCTTGGCTTTCCCAAATTGTCAAAATTTTCGCCTGCGGCGCTGAAAAAGGAAGATAGCAATTACTTATATACTACAAATCCGTTTATACTCCACTCCCTAATCCACATATACATATTACTTAATCGACGACAAATTCTATTACCGGACTCGCATCATAATTTAAAAATTGCGGATTGCGAGTTGCGGAAATACTGGAACCGGAACTTCCGGCGAAGCACTAGCTTATATCGCCTTCCTCTCGAAATGGAGATATGGAGACAATTTGGGTAGGCAATGGAGCAAGATGGTGAATTTTTTGGCCTACGGCCTTTCAAAATTTTAAAATTTTTCGTCTGCGGCGCTTAAAATAAAATTTTACTTGAAAAATATTCAATTTTATTTAAAAAAAAGCGTCGCCAAAAATTTGGCTTCGAAAATGATTGACCCCCCCCCCCCCCTTCCCCGAAAATTTTCCTTGCTACGGGCCTGGCTTATGGGACACAATTGTTGTAAATAAACCAATAACTAAATCATTTATAAGTCATAGTCGACTAATAACGTATTTGAGGTCGAATAATTTCGAAATAAATGCAGTTTTGAAAATTTTTTGAATATTAAAATGTTTCGTTTTGTTTCGTTTCGTTTCGTAAGATTTTGGTTGTTTCGTTTCGTTTCGTTAACGAAACGATTTTTAAAAAATTTTGTTTCGTTTCGTTTCGTCAGAAAAAAATTTTGAGTTTCGCCCAGGTCTGGTCGGGATCCCGATTTCACGAAATCAAGAATTTTGTTTTTTTGTCGGCAGGATTCCACATACTTCCATTTAATTCACCTTTTGAAGAGATGGTTGGACATTAGATGGGGAGCTATATAGGAAGTGCCCCTTAATTCTCCTTATGATACGATGCAATATTTTAGCTCCAAGGGTGCGCCTTACAAAAATTGTCGCATATCTTAAAAAATAATTTATATTTAAATAAAAAGTCAATGTTGATGGCAAAATTGGTGCATGTGGATTTTTGCCTATATCTCCAATAACGGCATTAGTTCATCCTGTTCGGCTCGTTAAAGTTGATGATAATGGTGAAATTATAAGAAAACCTAATGGTTTAGCTGTTCCGTGCAGGCCTGGTAATTAATTTTGTATAAGAAGGGAATAAGAAGGGGTATCGTTCCGGTGTCTAAGTTGTTAAAGCACTTAAACGTAGTTAGAGAATTGTCGGTTACATCAAATCTCTTTGGTCACTAAAAATCATAAAACCAAGTGCACAATTTATTAAGAACATTATCAACCAATAAATTTTCCAATTAACTTATTTAAATTTTCAGGACAAACAGGAGCAATGGTAATATTATAAAATTTATTATTTTACCTCCCATTAAAAAGGTTTCAACAATTCGTCATGATAATCCTTTACTTGTTTTTGATGGATATTTAAATAAAACAGAAACAAGTTTTTAATTTTTATAAGTCAAGAAAAAATAATTTTTAAAGAAAAAAAAGTAATTCAAAATGTTTTTCGTCATGGAGATAGTGCTTTCTTAACTGGGGATATTTTACATTGGGACAGACTTGGATATCTATATTTTAGATTACGTACAGGAGATACTTTTCGGTTTAAAGGAGAGAATGTTAGCACTACTGAAGTGGTAAATAAATTTAAAAAATTTAAATTACTGTTTGGAAAAAATGCCGAATTAGGAGGACTTTGGACTTGCATCCATACCGGACATATGTGAAATCCTGGAAATATAAAATAATCCGAATTCCAGATTCGAAATTATTCTGTACGGAGCAGAATCTTAACTTGAAAGATTTTTAAAAATTAAAAAAATATTCCGTCGATAAATATAAATAATAATTAGAGATCGGACCGAGATGGAATCAGTCCAAAAATTTTCAAAATCAGTTCAAAAAAATCTCTTCAAAAATTTCTTTAAATTCAAAGCTTTTTTTGAGACATTATCTCATATCTCTAATCCCAACCCCTAATTCTTTAATACCAAGTTTTATGATAATTTAAACTACTATTCTCTTATCATGTTATGATTTCGATGGAATATAGGAATCCAATAAAAGCTTTCATAAGTGAAAAATTTTTCATGGGTCCTATGAGAAGATTTAGTATTTAATTTATTTTCATAATCAAAATCCCTTGAACAATAATATTTTTTAATCATTTAAATTTACTTTTTAGGAAGGTGTTCTTCTCCCTTTAAAAAGTATTATCGACGCTGTAGTTTATGGAATAAATATTCCTGGCATCGAAGGTAGTATAGGTATGGCAGCAATTGTAAGAAATAGAATTGAACAAACACCTGATGAGGTTGATATTTGGGAATTTTTAAATAAAAATAAAATTAATTTAAAGGAATTTCTTCAACAATTAAGCTCGCGGCTTAGAGCAGCTTTACCTCCTTATGCAATTCCTCGATTTATTCGTATTTGTAGTTCTGTTGACAGAACTGGTAAATTGTGTTTTTATAAAATATATTTTTTTAATTTGGCTATCACCTAGTGATGTTGAGACTCTCGTCTCGGTTCCCTTGTCGGGAAATTTCTCGGGGTTTTTGAGCTCGGTCTCGGTTCGCGGTCTCGACTCTCGGCTTTTTTAACTCCTGAACATCACTAATATAACGTTCCAGATAATTAAAAGAAGATCCCCTATCTAGGATACCCCTCTTTATAAGCTATGATTTTTGCAGTCTCATAGGTATCTTATAAACATATCTGACTGTTAAGGTCAAAAATTCTTCCCTAAAATATATTTTCACTGAAAAAAAAACAATAATTTTTACTAGGTACATTTAAATTAGTCAAAACAAATTTGCAAAGGTTAGCACTTGGCAACCCCCCAAGTATTTCCTTGGATGATCAACAACGGGTTTTCTTTTTTGATACAAAAATAAAGCAATATATGCCCCTTTGTGAGGATTTACGGCAAAGGCTTGAAGAAGGAAGAGTGGAACAAAATGAGTTAACAAAAATTTTTGCTTAAAATTGTCATTTAAAAAATTTTATTTTGCCAAATTTATTAATTATATAATTTTTTTGCTCAAAAAATATATTTTTTAAAAAAAGATTTTCGTTAATTTTCTTTGCGAAAATTCAGGAGATTAAAAATTTTTTAGATCCAAAGCAGAGGTCCGAGTTTCTACGTTTTCTCCTTCCGATTTCCGACTTTTGAGCCATTTCCGATTTCTTAAAGTTCCGATTTCTGACAGTTCCGATTTCCGGCACCTGCGTCATTTCTGACCGACCTCTAATTCATAGACGAAAACTTTTTGGATATTGGAAGCCAAGACACAGAATTACTTTTTATATCGCCTCCTAAAAAGAAGCACTTTACAATAGTGAAAATATTTTTTCAAGTGCTGTACTTCCATTTCCTGTTGATTTTCAAGATTTTATATCTCGAAGAAATAAGTTACAGACTTGGTTCTTTTTTATTTCTAGATATACGGATCTAAAATATCGAGATGTTAATCAAAATCAATTAACAACAAACAATTAACAATTCCTTCTACAGGGTGCGGCAAATTTTCCGCCGATTTTGTTTTTCTCATATCTCGCTTCAAACTCATCAGAATTCGATAATTCTTTTTTTATTTTATTCCCAAGACTCTAAGTAATTTTTTGATATCAAATTTGATTTTTAATAATAACAAATTCAAAATAATAATCAATAAACAAAATAAGCCTAAATTCTATCTAATTTCAACACTTTTCCCATTATTTTCAATACACTTCTCAAGCCGTTTTTCATATGAATCTATGGCTCTATCTATCATATTTTGTGGTAATTCATCGAATGCAAGTTGGATACGAGCTTGAAGGTCAACGAGATCGGTTGGTTGAGTCTTGTAAATTTTGCTTTTGATCCAACCCCAGAGAAAAAAGTCGCAAGGGGTAAGGTCAGGCGAATGAGGGGCCATGCCAAAGGCGGATTCATGTTTGCCGAGCTACGTCCCATCCACCGAAGTGGGAAATTTTCATCTAACCAATCATGGACTAAGGCCTGATGATGAGGAGGAGCATTGTCCTGCATAAAGATGAGCTGATTGAATTCTGGCCAGGTTTGTACGACAGGAAGGAAGCGTTCTTTAAAGAGAAATTCTCTGCCATGTGAAAATTCTCAAGTGTTTATACCTTGAAGAAGTTGCAGATATGAATTAGCTGTCACGTTATTGAAGAAAAACACAGGACCTACGACGCCTTGTTTACCTACAGCGGCCCAAACGCTAACCTAAGAAAAAATGCGGAAAACAACACAAAAAACAAACTCGAGGGGAATGAAGTGGTTCCTCTCTATACCAGTGAGGGTTAAAATTTGACCAATAACGAAAATTTTGATGATTGACGTGCCCATGAATATGAAAGTGTGATTCATCTGAAAACAAGAGATTTCCCAAAAAATCTTCATTTGCCGAGATAAGATCGAGTTGTGATGTTGCAAACAAAACGCGCTTTTCGTAATCAATTTCTCGGAGTTTTTGTGCGTGTTGCATTTTGTATGGGTGAAATTTGTAATCCTGAATAAACCGAATATCCTAGCTAACATAGGCAAAAATTTTCATTATACGACCTATTGTCCTTGGTGACGGCATCCCTTCCAGCCTAGATTCACTTCTAAGACTTGCGTGAGGTACATATTCTAATCGAAATATTTAAAAATGTCAATAAGGAAGTTTACAAAATATTGAGAAACAAAACGTGTTTAAAAATGAAAAAATTATTTTCTTGTAAATATACATACCTAAATAGGCTTCTTCCTTATATGATAAACAACTTAGAACAAACATTGTAAATTGGAAATACAAAAAATATCTGTTCTACCAAACAAAATTTTCTTTTTAAACATTAACAATTATATATCGATATAAAGTTTTGGTTTGACATCGTTTTATAAATGGTTGAGATGGGAAAACTTTTGTTTGTTGATATTTGTTTATGAATAATCGTGGCCACAAAAAATTAAAAACAGTTATCAGCTGTTAGAATGGTTTTGATGGAGGATACGAGGAACAATAGAGCATATAAAGGATGATGGATTCAAGCAATTATTACAATAAAATAAAATTTAAATATATTAACTTCAACAATGAAGTCGAAAACACTTTATTTGTTAATAATATGTGCGAACTTTATGGTAACTACAATCGAGGCGACAATGTGCAGCAACACTCCGATTATTTATAATAATTTGGTAAGATACGGAAAAGGGAGTCAGCTGACGCTTAACCAAGGGTCTACGATATGGCTCCGAACTCAAATTTAAAATCCGCATTTTGAGCTAAAAAAAATCCGCATTTTATATCAAAAATTCGCAAAAAATTATCAAACGCAAAAATTCAATTAACTTCACTTTATGCGTTATATTGTCTGCACGGTTACAAAACTTTACTTATCCCATACTTTCTAAAGTAAATTTGATTAAATAATATATTTAAGAAGCTACCATCAACAATTAATCTTGTAAAAGCGGGATTTGGAAAAGGATTTTTACCAGACAAGTATATTGAAATTAATGGTGTATTTCTTGAATATCCAAATCGTTTTAAATTTTATTTGATGGAAGATGGCGAGAAGTTAAAAACTGCTAACATTCCATTCGCTTTCCAGGCATACCATACACGCTACTATAGAGTAATTTAAAAATTAAAATTGGTTTTTATATCCAAATATTTATTTTAGGTTAACCTTAATGATTGGATAAAACCCAAAAAGTGGGGACGACCTGAATGGTATAGATTACCTTTTACAGCTGGTAAACCATTCATTTTGGAATTTGTTGCAGCGCCAAATAACACAATAATTGTAATTATTTATACAATTGTTACTTAATTTTAAGTAGAGGTCGGCAAAATCGCACTTTCGGGATCCCGAGTCGGGATTTTTTTTCTTAACCGAGGCCGGGACGGGATCCCGAGGGATAAATCCCGAAAAAATCCCGGATCCCGAAAATCAAAAAAATCCGGGATTTCGGGAGCGGGATCCCGGAAAATCCCGTCGGGATCCCGTCCCGCGCCGACCTCTAATTTTAAGTTTATTTTTCGTAGATTTATGTTAATGATAGAAGTTTTGCAACTTTCCATCGAGGGGATTTGAGTAACATTAGCCAATTATTTATTGACGAGGCAGAAATAATTAAAGTCAACTCTTTGATTTTGTGTGATAAAATCCTACCAGCCACAACTCCTGCAAAGCCTCCTTTTTCGTGTCGCGGACAGATTGAATTAAATAATTTGGTTAGAGTATAGAGAATTAAAACAGATAAAAATCTCTAAAATATTAAAGAAAATTCCATCACTAATCAACCTTGTGGATAAAGGATTTGGAATGGGATTTGCACGATCTAAGCGTATTATAATTCATGGAACACCTACTGCACCAACATGTTTTGACATTAACTTTGCTGAGGAGGGTGTGCCTGAAGATACTGCTGACATTCCATTACACTTCAGTCCAAACTTTGCTCAAAAGAAGGTAAGTGAATAGACTAGGGGTCTGGCAGTTATTCTTGGCAAGCTTAAAAGCAACAGATTTACATCCTGTAAAACATTGTTTCTATATTTTTATAAAGTGTCAAAGAGAAATAATATCAGGCAAAATAATTTTCCGGGTCCGGAAAACTGGATTTTAGATCGAAATATTAGGGAATTTGGCGGTAAATAAGGGAATTTACGGTACATTTTTAGTATTCTTATTTAAAACAGGCAATAAAATGATTAGTTAGAGCAATTTGTGTTTGCTTAAATTATATATATTAAGGTTATTCGCGACACTTGGATAAGAGGTACAGGATGGACAAGAAAAGAGACTTCAAGAGATTTTCCATTCAAAGTTGGTCAACCATTCGAATTGGAATTTAGAGCAGAACAAATTGCGATACGAGTACTATTTAGTAAATTAAAGTAGTTTTTGTAAGCAATCTTTGAAAAAAGTATTAATATAGAACTACTTTGAAGTTTATAATTTTTTAAATTTTTATTTCAGGCATTAGTCGACGGCAACTCATTTGAACTTTTATATGGATACAACATGAGTAAAATAACTCAATTGGAGATTAAAGGGGCAATTGATGTACGCTCTGTTGTTCTGTGCAAATAAAGAGAGGATTTTGAATGTTGAAAGTTTCTGATATTAAAAATACTTAATATTTATATTTTGTACGTTTAATGCTAAAGAATAAAGCAATGTTGAATTCCCATTGTTTATCAATAAAAATTAATGATAGCAATTTGTCCCCAATACATACATCGAATTTATGGCAATAGTTTCGTATACAGGCCCTTTTTTATCCTCCCCAAGTTCTTTCGTATACATGTACAGAAGGCTCCCGACATTTGGGGAGTATGAGTATGATTTGGGGAGTATGAGTTACACAGACGAACACGGACGAGCACGGTCGAACACGTACGAGCACGGTCGAACACAGACGAACACGGACGAGCACGGTCGACCATGTACGAGCACGGTCGAACACGTACGAGCACGGTCGACCACGTACGAGCACGGACGAACACGGACGAACACGTACGAGCACGGTCGACCACGTACGAGCACGGACGAACACGGACGAAATCGCACGAGCACGGACAAACACGGACGAGCACGGTCGACCACGTACGAGCATGGTCGAACACTGACGAGCACGGTCGAACACGTACGAGCATGGTCGAACACTGACGAGCACGGTCGAACACGTACGAGCACGGTCGACCACGTACGAGCACGGACGAACACGGTCGAACACGTACGAGCACGGTCGACCACGTACGAGCACGGACGAACACGGACGAACACGCACGAGCACGGACGAGCACGGACAAACACGGACGAGCACGGTCGACCACGTACGAGCATGGTCGAACACTGACGAGCACGGTCGAACACGGACGAGCACGGTCGAACACGTACGAGCACGGTCGACCACGTACGAGCACGGACGAGCACGGTCGACCACGTACGAGCATGGTCGAACACTGACGAGCACGG